AAGGGAGGGGAGTGGACGCAGCCAGCCCGGGCTCCCAGCATCCATCCAGCCTTGCACATCGTGCTAATGGTTTATGTCTGGTTCCCGCTCTTGTAATACCAGCCTGTGTAATTGTGAATTAATGGATGATAAACAAGTATCTGCCTGTCCCTGAGCACTCCCACTGGGAAGTGAGCCCGGTGATAAATGGCACCGCTTTCAGCACAGGAGATCTGCAGTCTGACTGCTCTCCTCGTACGCCCTGAAATCCTGTAAAGCCAAGGCCAATGTGTGAATTGCAAAGCTCCTTCTCCTCTCCCCTGCGCCACTTGCTGCAGCTAGTTTAATAATTTTTAAAGCAAGGCGTTTGTCCTATGAAACTGTCTAAGCCAAAATAGCATGTGCCTTCCTCATTGCTTTTTATAAATTTATAGAGTAGTGTTAAATTGAAACCCAACCAGAAAGCCGCTCACCAACCCCTCTATTTTTCTGTTCTCTGTCTCTTGTAGCACACAGATGCGGTGGCGCAGCCATCTCCTACCAGAGGATCAGGAAGAAGGAAGCCATACTCCTCGGAGAGCTGAAACTTGGTCAGTGCCAGAGGCAGCAGGGTCTCCTCCGTGCCGTCGCAGGCCTCCATCACCGGGCACTGGCCACAAAGTCAGGATATGCTCTGGCTCGGCGGAGACGCGCCGGCTGCCCCGCTCCCGGTATGTGCTGAGCCAGCACCACGTGCCCCGGCCATGGGAGTGTACCTTGTCCTGGGGGGAGCCAGGGCCTGGCCGCCCAATGGCCGGAGGGTCCGAGCAAACACGGTTAAAGGTTGCTGATAAGGTGTTGTCATGCAGCAAACATCGATCTCCGTCCCCATGGGCATCCACCTATGGGGAAGGCTCAGGGAAGCTCCCTTGCCATGGGTAGGGGTTGTGAGCTGCCTCCCGCCGGGGCCTCCCCTTGGAGCTGCAGGGATGCTCCAGGCTCCCCTGGGAGGTTGCATCAAAGGAGCCCAGGGTGCTTTAGGCTGGCAGCAGTGCAGGGACGCTGTCTCTGCAGCTGGGTTTCCCCAGGATCCTGGCAATGCTGAATTCAAGTCCTGTGCACTGTGCTTGATCTGCAGGAACCATGCAAGAATCGGGGACCATCCACGTCCATGTCTCGCTGGAGGCTGCAGAGCCCAGGCACACCATGAGTGCAGCACAGACCCTACACCACGGCACAGACCTGCAGCCACCACAGGCACCAGGTATGGCCCCGGCAGGGCAGATGTGTGTTGATGGCTTTAAGAACTGCCTGCGGCTCCTGTCAGGCTGTATGCAACACCCCCCAGGTGCCAGGGGCCCGGGGACCTCTGTCCCCGCAGGAGTGATATACGAGGCACGCACACGAGGTGCTGCTGATGTATGCACTAACAATATGCCCAGTACAACCAAAATAAATTAATGGGAGCCACACCCAAAGCAGCTGCCACAGAAGTAAGCGCTGCATGGCAGCAAGTGAAACTCCCTAATCCACCTTTTGTGTCACTTAAGGGTTTATCTGCATTTCCAGCGAACTGCCTAATGACTGAACGTGAGCTGACATTGCCGTTAAATTCCCAGTGCCAAACAAAGTGCAGGATCGTAATGTCGGTTTTAATTGGCAGTAGTGAACGGTGTGCTGCTAGCATGCCCGCACCAGAGCACCGGCCGTGCTCTCCCCGCGGCTGCACGCACCCACCCCAGGGAGGCAGAGTAGATGGTGATGCATGGAGAGTAATTAGACCTTCTTGCAACGAGGGTCTGCAGGCTTCTGACCTAATTGCGATGCACAGGAGCAGAACTCTCTGCCCATTGGGTGGTTAATGCTGGCGAGGCTCATGCTGCTGTCTGGCCAGAGATGAATGAAACGAGGCTGAAAGAGACCTCATGGCGGAGGCTGCCGTTTCCCCGTGTTTCAGTGCGGTGCTGCCTTTGTCCCCCCAGCAGATCAGTCCCCTCCCTGTGGCGGGTGCTGCTGCCATTGCAGCACAGGAAAGCGCAGGGCTGCAGCGATGCAGTGCCGGTGCTGTTTGCGCCTTGGGGACCAAGCGGCCCTCCGAGGTGGGGGCACAACTGTGCAGGTCTTTCTCGTGGAAAGGCTGGAGGGGCATTGTGTGCCTGGGTTTGCCAGTGCTAGGCAGGGCACCCTGAGCCCACCCCAGTGTGAGGGTGAGTGCCGTGGTTTGCCTGTCCAGGGGACGTGGGCTGCAGCCAGAGTGTGGAGGGGGCTGCCCGGCACAGGGGGGTTTCCTGGCACGACATCTGCTCTGATGAGTCAGGCTTCCTCCGCTGCCACCACCCCAGCCCATCCCTCCCGCCAGCGGGAAGGAGCCTGCGGCCACAGCAGGGACCACGCATCCGCCCCGCGCTCTTCCTGTCTGTCGGCCGCGATGGCATGAGCCCCTCGGCGCCGCCAAGAGCCGCCCCAGCCCGGCGCCTGGCAGGGCAGGGTCCCCATGACTGAGGGTCACTGGGGCAGCCCAGCAGTCCCCCCCCATCTGAGGGAGGCTTGGCAGGGTGCTCTGAGCAGGGCCTGCCAAAACAGTGGTTTCCTGGGGGAAAAGCAGCACCGTGAGCACTGCTTGTGCAGAAAGCTGCCCGCGCCGGGGGCCGGGGCTGGAGATGCCATGGGTGCATGGAAAGGGAAGGGCTGTGTTAGTTGGGGCATGGACAGCGAGATGGGCCTCTCTGTGGGGTGCAGGTCTGAAAGCACTGCAGGAAATGCGGGTGCCCCCTCGCCGGGGCAGGGGTAGAGGTTAGCGATGTCCTGGCCCACAGGCTAAGGCAGCTGTGCTGTGCCACGCTTGGGGCAGTCGGCTGCACCAGGGGGTATCGGGCAGCCTCTCTTCCAGGGCTGCTGGCTGGTCCTCAACACCTGAGGACAGGGACGGTAATAGGAAGGTGTCTGTGAGGGCTTGGCGCTGGCAGAGGCTCTAGGGGCCTCCTGGTCCAGGCATGGTTCTGGCACACGGTGCCACTCCACAGGGACGACACAACTCCTCAGAGATCGCAGACACCTTTTATTGAACAACAAACACCACAACAAGAGACATACTACACGCTTACAGTGACCGCTACACAGGCTGCGGGCCACTTTGCTCCCAAGCCCGGGGCTGTGGGCATCTCTTCTACTGTGCCGCACTGCAGCGTCCTCCGTGCAGTGCTCTCCATGGACTGCGCTCCGGCACCTGCTGCCAGACGCTGCCAGGCCCCAGACACTGCCGGAGAGGAAACACCACAGAGGCACCACTTACTTCTGGACAGCACCCACCGCCAGCCACCACCACCCCGAGGTCCCTGCCCGCCCAAGGGCTGCTTCGCCTGGGACCACCCTGGCAGCCTGCCAGGCACGCTGCCACCACCCTCCGGGCTCACGTGCCAAGAGACATGGACCCCATCAGGGGGCTGAGCCCACCACAGGGACAGCCCTCAGCACCTCACCCAAGTGACGCTTGGTCCAGCTCTCCTCCGAGTCTGCAGGACTCGAGACGGGCAGGCACCTCCACGCACAGAGCCGCTCGGCACCCCGCACCCCCCAGGGCCGCCCCTGCTGCATCCTCGCCAAACATGCGTCGCTGCCACCCACCTCCTCTGCACGAGTACTAAGACCAACAACTCCCCAACTTGGACAACGCTCGCTGCCACCACAGTCCTCCCCTATCCCCCTGACAAACCACCCACCCGTGGGATCACTGAGGTTGGAAAAGACCCTTAAGATCATCCAGTCCAACCGTTAACCTAACACTGCCAAGTCCACCACTAAACCAGGTCGCTAAGCGCCACGTTTACACGTCTTCCAAATACCTCCAGGGATCGTGACTCCACTGCTTCCCTGGGCAGCCTGTTCCAATGCTTGACAACCCTTTCGGTGAAGAAATTTTTCCTAATATCCAATCTAAACCTCCCCTGGCACTACTTGAGGCTGTTTCCTCTCATCCTGTCACTTGTTACTTGGGAGAAGAAACCGACACCCCCCTCGCTACAACCTCCTTTCAGGTAGTTGTAGAGAGCGATGAGGTCTCCCCTCAGCCTCCTTTTCTCCAGGCTAAACAACCCCAGTTCCCTCAGCCACTCCTCATCAGACTTGTTCTCCAGACCCTTCACCAGCCTCGTTGCCCTTCTCTGGACACGCTCCAGCACCTCGGCGTCCTTCTTGTAGTGAGGGGCCCAAAACTGAACACAGTATTCGAGGTGCGGCCTCACCAGTGCCGAGTACAGGGGGACGATCACTTCCCTACTCCTGCTGGCCACACTCTTTCTGATACAGGCCAGGATGCCATTGGCCTTCTTGGCCACCTGGGCACACTGCCGGCTCATGTTCAGCGGGCTGTCGACCAGCACCCCCAGGTCCTTTTCCGACAGACAGCTTTCCAGCCCCTCTTCCCCAAGCCTGTAGCGCTGCATGGGGTTGTTGTGACCCAAGTGCAGGACCCGGCACTTGGCCTTGTTGAACCTCATACAATTGGCCTGGGCCCATCGATCCAGCCTGTCCAGGTCCCTCTGCAGAGCCTTCCTACCCTTGAGCAGATCAACACTCCTGCCCAACTTGGTGTCGTCTGCAAACTGACTGAGGGTGCACTCGATCCCCTCATCCAGACCATTGATAAAGATATTAAACAGAACTGGACCCAGTACTGAGCCCTGGGGAGCATCCTTCCCGAGACTGACCCTGGCCACGGCACCCAACTCTCACACACCCTCGGCTGGCCACCGCTGGCCTCTGCGTGGCACTGCTGGGACACGTTCCGGCACCCGCACACCAGTGCGTCACGCTGCTGGTTGTTACACTGACTTGCCCCACAAGCTGCAACAACTACAGCAGCTGCATTAAACAACCATTGCAGGTCCCTTCCAACTAACTCCACTATTCCAGGCCACTCCATTCCACCCTACTTTCCTATTATACCCCTTCTCCCAGCAAGCTTCACTGCTCAGAGCTCATGCTAACTCGCCACCACCCAGGCTGCCATCTGCTGCCATGTGCCCAGGACATTTGGCCAACTGTCACCTCCCGACCACCTGCTCCGACTCCCGTGGCTTCGACCGGCCACATCTGCAGGCACCCAGGAGCCAACATGCTGCAGAAACCCTGCTGCCACCCACCCATGACTCCAACAACCATGCTGCCTGTGGTGCCCTGACCCCCAGACAGACACTCCCACTAAGGCTGCTTTCCTCCCAATGTCAAGGCACACATAATGGCTCCCGCTCCCCTATTTCCACTGCCAGCTCCACCACCACCACCACACAAGCCCAGGACAAAAAAAAACCAATCAGCCACTTGGGCAATGACTTACATTTCAACGTCCTTCCCTGCTGCGCCGCTCTACATCTGACATGCTCCTTTCCTCATCCACACAGTCCTTGTCTTCCAACCTAGAGTGGGACCGGGAAGGCAGCTCCTGTCAGTCGCAGAGCTGCCTAAAGTTGCAAGGAGCAAAAACCCTCCTCCCAGCATCGCCATCGGCCCCATGGTGGCACCGCCTTGTCCCTTCATTGTCCGTTGCTCCCACTTCCTCTTCCTGCCTCGGACGTGCTGCACGGTGAAAGTCTTTGTCTGGGCTCCAGCTTTACTGCTGCCTACGGCCACCTCTGTGCCACCACACCATCACCTCAACACCCTTTGGTGCAGAGAACAGACTCACTTGTCTTCATCCAACTCCTCCGTGGTGGGACAGCGCCTTGGGCCGCTTCTCCTTAGTGCCATGAGGATGAGTCCGACGGCAACAGGGACAAAGAGGCAGAAGGTCAGAAGCAGCCACAGTTTTGGTGAGCCCTCGCTCCCGACGTCTGCTTCATCTAAGCACAGGAAACAAAACAACCTCCTTGAGCCCATCCTGGGACACACCACAGGACCCAGACACTTGCCTACACGGCCCTGCTCTGGCAAGCCACTGCCAGAATGGGAATCCATCGCCCCGGCCCCAGAACCACCTCTTCCCATGATAACCCTTCACCCCGAGCAGCCACTGCCCTTGCCACTCACCATCTCTGGACGGGCTGCTGCCGCTCCCGCCCATCGCCCCTGCTTTCCCCTGGCAAGTTGGTGGTTTCCACCCGGGCTGGCAATGGCAGCTCCCTTGGTTATTGCAGACCTGCATGACAGGCAGGGAGAGACAGGATTTATAGCCAGCTGCAGAGGATCATGCCCACACATCCTCACTCGCCAGACACTGGGCACAGATGTCAGGGCACCTTGTGCCAGGCAAAGCTTCCCCGCACGCAACTCGCCTGGGGCTCACACGGCCAGCCCTTTGCCTCAGTCAATGCTGGCTGTCCCCTCCCGGGGCACTGCCTTCTCCCCATCCTTATCGCTTCTTCCAGCCTCCCAGCAGGCTCAGACCCTTTCCGTTTGGCTGATTTACAAAGAGGAGCCGCTTGGCTCTGTGAAGGAGTTCTGCTGGGGGCACTACACATGCAGCCTCGAGAGATGATCCAACCCCCCCTCGGCTGCTCTTCCCCACAAATATGACCCAAGACGCCGCTTTTGCGAGCCACATCTCCAGAGAGTTGAACAAACCACAAACAACAATGCGCAGCACCGTTACTTACACCGTGATTGTGGCACTTTGTCTTCATCTCACATTTATAGTTCAGGACAGTGGCAGGCACACACTGCTGGTTCAGGCAGATCTACAGCACAAGCACACGGGCAACCTTGGGTCAGCCAGCCGGGCAGTTACGCACCCAGCTCCAACTCAGGAGAGCTGCAGATTTTTCGGGAACTCACAAGGGAGCATCAGGCTTCATGCCGGACCCCGTCTGAAGGGGGTCATGCCGCCCATACATCCATCCCGACTCCTTCAGGATGAAGCTGACAGAAAAGCCACTGCCCTCAGGGCGCCGATGCCGCTACTGCAGCAATACTTTCTACAAGTCCTTCTTCTCCCAAGGGAGCTGCTACATGTCAGGGGATCGCTTACCTTGTGGTCATCACAGACGGTGCCATCGTTCACCAGCATGGGGTCCCTCTCTGTGGGAGGCTTCATGTAGTCTAACGTTACACACAGCGTGTTCTGCACCCGAGCGTAAATCACGGCAGCCTTCTCCTTGGTAAAGGGCTTAGAGCCCAGATATTCACACACAAGCTTCCCACATCGGAGATCCCTGCAAAGGCATCGCGAGCGAAGGACTTGACAACAGCCACCTTCATCCTTCCATTTCAGCTCTGTTGCCAACACCAAGCGAGTGCTTGGAGAATGGACCCCCAACACCCAATTCCCAGCACATGGACACGGCACGCTGTTGTGGTTTAACCCGGCAGGCAGCTAAATACCACACAGCCGTTTGCTCACTCCCCCCGTCCCAGTGGGATGGGGGAGAGAATCGGAAGAAAAAAAGTAAAATTCATGGGTTG